TCAACACCCCAACTCTCCCAGCCTGGCTCCAGAGCAGAGCTGCTCCAGCCCTCCCAGCATCTCTGGGGCCTCCTCTGGCCTCTCTCCAACAGCTCCATGTCCCTCCTGTGCTGGGGACCCCAGCCTGGCCCCAGCCCTGCAGGGGGTCTCAGCAGAGCAGAGCAGAGGGGACAATCCCCTCCCTGGCCCTGCTGGTCACGCTGCTGGGGATGCAGCCCAGGACACGGGTGGGCTCTGGGCTCTGAGCACATGGGGCCATGGGGAGCTGCTCATCACCAACACCCCAGCTCCTTCTCCTCAGGGCTGCTCTCCAGCCTTGCTCCCTCAGCCTGGATTTGTGCCCTGGCCCAGGGGCAGGACCCTGCACTTGGCCTTGCTGGACTTCATGCTGTTTGCACACCTCCACCTCTCCAGCCTGCCCAGGCCCCTCCTGTCCCTCCAGCATGTTGGGATGGGTGCCTGGGATGGGGGTGAAAGAGGGGACCCAGCCCCTGGGTCCCAGGTGTTTCCATGGAAGGTCTGAGTGGAACGACATGTCTCTGTGGTCCCAGCCACGCGCTGCAGGTCTGACCTGGCAGCCCCGCAGCCTGTTCCAGGCTGTCTGCACATCTCAGCACCTTGTGTCTGTTCTTTGTTGTTTAATTGACTTCAATAAGAGGTAAAAGCAGTGTCCTTAAATAAAATGTGCTTAGATCTCTGCAAACCAGCTGCCCATGCTCGGGGCAAGTGTCAGGAAGGTCAGTGTGATTTCTCCTGTCTGACTTTACCAGATGGAGCTTCGGAGGAGCTTGGAGCAGCCTGGGCACGGGTGGGCACGCTCCCCTCCCTGCAGGGCTCTGCCCTTCCCCTCTGCTGGACCTTTCTGGCAGCTTATGGAGAAGGGAATCTGTTCCTGCCAGGCCTGCCGGGCTGGAATCCCAGGCCGGCCTTGGCGGAGCCGCGATGACAAGTGCCTGGTTGTGCTCCGGGCGCTCAGGGAGATGTAAAACCGCGCCCGCGACGCTCACGTGGTGATTTGTTGGTTTGATTCCTCAGGTCGTGAGCTGGCGAGCACAACCCTCCCAGGATACCCTCCACACGTCCCCCCCGCCGGGCAGGGCAGCTACTCCGCTCCAGCGCTGACAGGGATGGTGCCTGGTGAGTCCTGAGCGGGAGCCAGGGAGGGAGGGAAGCAAACGAGCAGGCAGAAGGAAGAAGGAAAGATGTTTCAGGAGGGAAGCGTGACATGGAGGAGAGGCAGGGGCAGGGGACAGGGCAGGGGCGTGGGGAGGTGTGGGGTTGTCCCCGGTGAAGGAGGACCAGGCTCCCAGCATGGGAGAAGGTGCAGCCTCTGGACCACCCTGTGGCTTTGGGGTGCGGGAAGACCCCTCAGCCTCCCTCCTGCAGGGCCCGGGGGCTGCCCCATCCTGAGCTCCTCCTGTTCCACCCTGGTGTTCCTCTGACCCCCCTGTTCTCTCCCAACACTCTGTGTCCCCCCTGCTGTCCCGTGGGGAGTCGCTGGCCCTTGAGGCATAGAGGTTTACTCTGTGCAAACTGTGCCCATCCGGGTGAGTCTGGGGGGACCCTTGGTTCTCCTCAGGATGCATTTCTGCAGCTCCCTTCCCCTTCTGGAGCTGGGGTGAGACAGCAGCATCTGGGTGGCCACAGCAAGGAGGGAGTGGGAGCCCAAGTGCTGAAGGTTGGATACTGCTGGAAATCAACACATTTATTTTGGCACGGAAGAACAGCCAGGATCTGTCCCCGAGCTCTGCTGCCTTTGGTCTGGATGTGACAGGCACTTCTGTCTGCCAGGGAAAGCGATATTCCAAGACCCAAATGCATCAGTTAAACGTGATTAATCCGGCCCCTAAGTCTTGTATGATTGGAAAAGTGGTGGCAACCTGGGGATTCTCTTTCTTTCCCCTCTCCGGGTCCTCTGAGCCAGACTCTTTGGATGCAGCAAGGACAGAGAGTTACTGAAGAGGGTTCCCCAGAGTGGAATCTTGTATGTAATTCCATGGCTCCGGGAGGTGGTGATTGAGCAAAGAATACTCCTAATAGGAAACCTGGAGTTGGGTGACAGTGTTTTGACATCTCGGCTCTTTTTCTGTTGGTCATTTTCACCAGCTTTGGTTGTGTTCTGCAAATTGGATTCTCTCAGATCACTAGGGAGTTAAGAAAAAAATCAGCCGTTTTATTTGTGGTTTGGAGTTGGAAACCGGCTATGGAAATTAGATGGTAGGTTGTGTAGAAACCAATTTTTATCCATAAAATGTAATCTCGGAGGAGCTGCTGTGAGAGCACTGGACACAGTCTGTGCCTGATGGTCCCCTCCTGCTGCCTGGTTCCTGCTGGGCAGCTCTTCACTGATGCCTGGAGCCTTCCTCACTCCGGGCACCCTCTGCTGAGAGTCAGCCTCTGAAAGCCTGCAATGTTGGATGCTTCATTCCTCATGAAGGTGGCCGTTTAGAGGCTTGTAGAAACCTTGTGGGAATCTGCTGCCTTCTTTCAGAGCACGTTGCTCTGAAGAGCCAGCATTGAGGCCCAGGCCCTTCTGCAGGTAAGGTACCTGCTCTTCCCAGTGGGATGGGGAGCTGAGGCCGTGGGGCTCAGCCGCGCTGCCGCAGGAGGTGCAGGGAGGGGCCCATGATGTAGAGTCATCTGAGCTGATTTTCCTGGGTAATAGATTTTATTTTTAACTACACATAGGCCTGTGTGACCCATTATATTGAGTAACTGCACTGTTCCTCTCACTGGTTCTTTTAATAACAACCTTCTGCTCCAGCTAGTGTGAAGGTCAGCCGCAATGCCTGTAGGTTCTCCTTCTCATTTAAGGGAGAATTTGCTAACTAGCATCCAAAACACCTTCTCCATCCTTCTCTGACTCCTGTCCTTTGCAGGACCAGTTTCACAGCCTTGCTGGGAAGAGCCCCCCATCCCCTGGGGGGCTGACCCAGAGCAGGTGATGGAACCAGTCTGGTGCCTCTGGCACATCCCACCTTGTTCGGGCATGTGGCTCTTGTACCAGGGCTCAGGGATTTGTTCCACAACCTGCCGCTGCCTTGTTGTAGTTTCCAGAGCCTCTGCTAGAAATGTGTGTCCCTGATAAGATTTTTAATCGTTAGCCATGAATTTCTGTTTGTAATTAGGTAATTGTGTGAGTTAAGTGCTCAGGGGCAGAGAGAAATGTATACAAGATAAGACATGGGCGGTGTTTTGTTTCTGCTTGTTGCTGCTGCGGGTGGGCGCGTCCCCTGGCACCCTGGTGGTGCTTGTCCTGACTCTGCTGGGGTCTGTACAACCATCCAGGTCCCTGGCATTTCCAAGATGGAAGCAGAAGCTGTGTGGATTCAGATTCCTGTTTGGTGCTTATCTCTCCTCCAGCTCCCTCGCTGTTCATCTCAACAGGGGAGGCTCCTTCCCCTGACAGCCCTGGGTCCATCCCTCCTCTCCCACTCACAAGGATGCGCAGAGGAATGTCACCCCTCTGCACCACCACAGACACAGGGCACAAACACCTGGTCCATGCCCTTAGATCTCTTCCTTTCCTTCCCTGCAAAAACAGGGACTTGTGCATCAATAGGGAGTTGCATTTTATGTGGCTCATGAATGTCAACTGTGGCTGAGAATAAATTAATCAAATGCTTTTTTCTAGATCACAGAATCCCAGACTGTTTTGGGTTGGAAAGGACCTTAAAGACCACCCAGTGCCACCCCTGCATGGGCAGGGACACCTCCCACCAGCCCAGGCTGCTCCAAGCCCCATCCAACCTGCCCTTCAACACTGCCAGGGATGGGGCAGCCACAGCTTCCCTGGGCAACCTGGGCCAGGGTCTCTCCACCCTCACAGCACAGAATTTCTTTCTAAAAGGACCAAAGAAGCAAATATGGGGCTTGGATTTCAGTCCAGGGCTTTACAAACTGAGATCTGGCATTTCTGGAGGCTCCCTTAAATGTGGTCATGGGCCTTGTGCACTTCTCTGCCTTTTGGTGGCTGTCACCCATTAAAGGTGACCAGAGAAGAGCTCTCTGAGAGGAGCAGCCCCCAGTGCTCTGATGGCATGGGGCACAAATGAAATGCTGTGGTGTGGATGGGTGGGCAGATAGGTGGGAAAAAAACAGGCTAGAGGTGGTGGTTGATGCCACACTCCAGCTGGATGCTGGAGCTTCTGTCCTGGTCATCACTGTCATCCCTGAGCGGGAAGGAGCTCACCTAGTTGGGTTTTCAGACAGGCATGGAATCCAACATGGGCAAACATCAAGTCCTGCCCTGGCGAAGGGAGAGCTGTGCAACAAAAGGGGCTGAGCAGTCGTGGCTGCTCAGGGGCTCCCGGGGGCAGAGCAGGGAGAGCTGGAGCAAGGACCACCAGAAGCACCCCGGCCAGGGGTTTGACCCCTCACCTGGCACTCCTGGACTCCTGGTGGGAACAGTGCTGCTTTGGGACACCCAGCACAAATGGGTTTAAGTTAAGAAAAAAGCAGGATGCAAACTAGAAGTGAGGAAAAGCTTCAAACGTCTCCCCCACAGGGAGAGCCCAGCAGTGGAAGAAGTCACTCAGGAAGGCTGTGAAGTCTCTGTCCTTGAGGGTTCTCATCACCAGGCTGGATGAAGCCTTGAGCATTCTGTTCTGGCCTCATTGCTGATCCTGGTGTGAGGTGGGCCTGGAGACCTCCCAAAGTCCCTTCCCCACCTGAAATGCCTCGTCATCCCATGGCCAATGTTTTGACTGTCACACCACTGAAAACATGCTGCAGAGTCAGGAGCTCATGTGCTTCTGGTTGGTGCTGTCAACAGAGATGGAATAAAAAAGCTGTTAACAGGAGGCAAACAAGTCCCTCTTTGGAGAGCAGTGATGCCAGCAGGCCATGCAGGAACACAGATGGGGCAGCTCTGCTTGAGACCCCAAACAACAGAGCCATGAAGCCCCCTTGATGGCCAGATGGAGCCATGAGGGCATCTTCCCCCCAAAGGGCAGGGGCCCTTGCAGGGACCAGGAGAGGTCACTCTTCACATTCCTCCTCTCAGCTGTAACCGGGGTCTCACCCAGTGCAGCCCCAGTGCTGCCAGCTCCTGGTGCCTGGCTCAGCATCCCCTGCCCAGCCATGCTCTGTGCTCCCTGCCCACCTTGTCTGCTCCCCTGGGAGACTGGGGACGAAAGGGGAAGGGCAGACAGACCTTCCAGAAAACACTGGCTCCTGGTGGATATTCCTGGACATGTTGGGAGCAGGCAGGAGATGGACAGGATCATGTGGCCTTCTCTTCAGTCCTCATTTTCGAGCGGCTTTTGCCTTGAAGCAAGAGAGTTCACATCCCTTACAAACGTTTATTTTGCCTGGTGTAGCTCTCTGTGTGTTCTCGTTATCTGCTGAGACATTTAATCTACTATTGTTCCCTCCTGGATTCCTGGTCTCAGGAGCACCTCAGGGCACAGGGTCACACAGGTTAATGAGATGCTGTATGCAGAAATTATCTCCAGTAATTTGGTATCATTGTTATTATTTGTTCCCACTGTGATTTCTGCCCTAGAAACGTGGAGCAGTGTTTTCCCAGCAGCCTTCCCTTTGTCTCCTGGGAAGATCAGGCAGGAGCAAATGGCACCTTCTCCATCCTCTCCCAGCACTTGCAGCCTGGAGCCAGGTGCCTCCTCCCTTTGCGTTGTTCCTTTCCAAAGAGGCCATCCCAGTGCTCTTCAGGTGGAGGTGGTTCTTCCTTCTGCTTCCACCAGCTCTGCCTTTGCTCCCTCACACTCACAGGCTGGGCTTTGGGAGTGAAGCAGCAGCCAGTTGGGAGCACATCACTGGGATGTGCAGTATTTGCAGAGATTTTGCTCCATGGCCTACGTGGCCATTTTTGAGGTGTTTGAAAGGGAGTGCAGCTGCCAGGGCAGGGGTCTGCTGGTTGACCACTTTCCCTCACCTGTGGGATGCTGCATCATCTATCCAGCTCTGCTCCTGCTCCCCCATGGGCTCTGGTGCACTGCTGGCAGGGGCTGGCGTGGTGACAGGGACCCATGCTGCTCACCTGGGGACTTGCCATGGTCCTTCATGGCTCCACATGCTGCCAGCCTCTTTCCAACACTGCTTTTGTCTGTGGGACTGCTCCTGAGATCATAGAATCACAGACTGGTTAAAGTTGGAAGGGACCTTAAAAATCATCA